GACGACCCAGGGTGCGCTGGGAAGACAACATCCGACAGTCCCTAACTGACAGAGGACTGGAATGGAACAAAGCCAGAAAGAAAACTGCTGATAGAGACGTCTGGCGATCTCTCTGGCAAACCTCTACACCCCAAGGTAGAAGAGGAGCGACTAAGTAAGTAAGTAAGTAAGAATGATTGGCAGAAGACATTTAACAAACATGATTACCAAACATTGCATGACATGGGCACACAAAAAAGAAAGAACATGTGGCCAAGCTATTCAAGTTTCTGTTTGTCTTCTCCTTGCTCCTTTTCCATAAAGTTTACCAGTTGTCATTTTTTAAATTTATTTATTGTCTTAACCTAACCTTTTTGCCCTGTGATGCCGCTGATCAGACGTCGACACCTGTTACAGATCCCTGCATAGTTGTTAACCTTGCATTGCTGCATTGGTCAGTCCACAGTTAGCCTAGTTCACAGGTTTAGTTCTATATCACCATTGAGGCCACCTGCCCAGCATTTAGCAGGACTCGTGATTATATTTAATTTTTTAAAAATAGCATGGAAAAAATGGGGGGGGGGGGGGGGGGGGGGCGGTTATTATGATGGTTGTTGTGAAAAATAACTTAAGTTTTGAGGATGTCATAATTTACCTTTTGTCTATAACAGTCGCATAATGAGAAGGTCGTGGTAGGCTTTAAAAAAAAAATGCACTAAAGGACCCCCTTTTGAACACTTCAGGCATATTGGGCAAATACGGCTAGATCCATATTTTATAGACTGATCGGCACTTGATGGGGGATGTTGTCATCATCAAGCCAGCCACCTTTACTTCCCAGGACTGCACCAGAGGTACCCACTCAAGGCTGGGTCGACCTGTGAGCCAATGTCATTGACATGGTATGAGTCACCATATAAAAAAAAGTATTAGGCCCAAGGAAATGTATTCATTTAATTTCTCTGCACCGTTAGTGTTTATGAATTTATTTCTTTAAATAAAAAAGTGTTACACCATATTTGTCATTGTAAATGAGCTCTATTGTATAATACACACAACAAAAATTGAAAGAAATTTTCCAGAAATTTTTTTTTTCAAAAAATAAAAGAAATGTATAACTGCCGAAAGTGTGCGAGTATAGGCCACATTTATTTTAACCTGAAAATCGTTGATTAAAAATAGGATGCTATTCGAGATTCGTTTTAAAATTATAGTTAGGAGTTTGTGTCCATCAGCAGTAATGCTGTCATTATGGTAGGCCACTTTTATTTTGGCTTTTTTATGGTACTTTTCAGTGTCTTCTATATTTCTGCTGTCCATTTTCTGTGTGGTTGACCTCTGGTTCTGTTACCACTGTATCTGTATAACATTGCTGTCTGTGGGGCCCTGTCTGCTGCTAATCTTGTTACATGGCCAAACCATTTTATCTGTTGTATACTGCTAAATTTCAGTACTGGTTCTGTGCCGACTCTCCTCCTGATATCATCGTTCATAGGTAGATCTTTCCTTGTTACACCTAGCATAGTACTTAAACATTTTGTTTCTGTCATGACTAATTTTCTTCTGTCTTCTGAAGACAGTGTCCATATTTGACAATAATAGCCTAGTGTTGGTAAAAATATTCTAGAGTTCACATTCCCCTGCTTGCATTTCAGTATTGAGCCATTTATTCTCTAACTTAATTGGCGTTATTACTTCTTTGTTGTATTTCTGCATTAATTCTTCTGTTTCCCCCCAAAAAAAATATGCTCCCTAGATATATAATGTAAAGTCCTTCGTCTGCTTGACCTGATATTTGTCAATTTTGATATTGGTGGTTCTTCCTTTTGTGGAGAATGTCATCACTTCTGTTTTGTCTTATCTTGATCTTCATATTGTAGTTGTCGCATGCTGAGCGGAGCCTTTTGATATATCTTATAGTTGTACTGCTGTTGGTGCTGCTATGATTGCCTCATCTTCAGTGAAAAGCAATTCACAAAGTAATTTTCAAATGTTGCCACTTCACTGATGTTAACTGATTTACAAATTTGGTTGACGTATGTGATGTACAGTAGCTGTGTTTAATGTATTACTCACTAATGTTAAAGGTTGTTTTTCCAAGTCCCACCCGCCCAATGGTTTGTGTAGTGGAAGGGTTAATAGCAGTGAAAAGGATTTTCCTCTGTAAGCATGTTAGGGGAAAATCATAAATATAAGGCAAATGAATATTCAGCATTATTTCACTTCAGGGGTCTCCGTGCTGAGTGGTTAAGCTATTTGCTTCTCGCTCCGAAGGATGTGGGTTCAGTGTCTGACTACTATATTTTAGAATATTAGCATAGTATCTGTACTGCACTGCCGTTTCATATCCTTTTGATCATCTTAATGTTTATAGTGGTATGAAAATTTCCCCTTAGCCTTCCATATTTTTGTTCAAGTTTCTCCCAAAAGAAGACATGCTGGTGTCTTGTCATTTGTGTTATTATTATCTTATATGAACATGTATCTTTATTAGCATGAATGTTATACTTCAGTTGTTGTAACCTTTTTAAGTGTTTTCATAATGCAACAAGTCATCTAAACATAATTGCAATAGCAGGTTTTCATACATTGCACCCACATTAGACTGTGGGTTACTTCTGACCCCTGTGTGCACTGATTTAACTGTCATGTAGGGTTGAACAGGATTTTGGGGATTTGGTCCTGTTGGATTCTCGTCCGAACAGGGGCTGTGTGAGTCACTGGGAATTAAATCTTTGAGGCTGCAATTCTGGAGCAGTGGAAGTAAACAAATAACAGAACTTAATGAACACCTGAGGTTTTAGCACATTGGGATAATATTGGTTTTTTTTTTTTAAATTTTTATCGAATCCATTTAATCCTTTGAGTCCTTGGTAGATGTTACCTTAATTTGTTAAATCCAAAGTAATTCCTGTATCTAAAACTGTCTCTGAAGGAGTTAAAATAATAACACCACAAAAAAAGAATGATTTTGAGCAACAGTTTGAAAAATAAGGGGAGTGGGGGCAAAGCAGAACAGTTGGATGGGAAGAAAGGGGTAAGAATATATTGTAAGTAGTCCTTGTGTGAGAACACATTTTCTGGGGCAAAAACAAATAGACCCACTGCTCTTTAACAAGCAAGACTGAAGGGTTTGCTGAAATGGAATGTTTTGGGCTGAATGGCACAGATGTTGCGTCCTGGCTGTAAACCCAAACACAGGGCAAGCACCCTCTTTTAAGTGCAGACTCAGAAGAAGAAAAGGATTGAAGTTAGAGCTCATTAAACGTATATTCAGTTGATTAATAGTTGCAAGAGTTAAAAGAGGACAATAAAAATGCAAGAGCCAGTAAGCTGTCAATGATGCAATGAGTACAGGCAACATAGTCTAGAATAATCGCATAATATAATACTGATAAAAGGGAGGGACATTATTTATTTATCTATACTGTTTTTCTGTTGCTGGTGAGCTTTGAATCAATCTCTTAAGGGCAAGTTTCTTTTTCTTTCATATGTGTGTGTATGAGGGAGTGTATGTCTGTAGATCTGCAATAATTTTCTCATTTTACCCTATTTCCTTTTTGATTTTTCCACTTCTGTGCAACATGGTACATGGCATCCTTTTCCCACATATCCACCTCACCCTCTGTATCATTCATGTCCTGCTTGCTTTCTTTATTGGCTGTATAAAATATAACAGTATATTGAGAATATGCAGAAAAACAGTTTGAATACTACACTTTTTTAATCCCTACATTTGAAAATAATCACAGAAAGCAGCAGTCATGTTTGGGTTGTGGGCATCTCCATTGACTTTCTCATCATACAGAGTTGATATAATGAAGTATAGGACTCTTTACACAACACTTAAAGCAAATGTGACCTCTGTTGTACCAGGGCAAAACTTATTTGTATCAGTCCCTCTTTTCTTTAGCTTGTTGAATAAAAGTTCTTTCATTGCCCGTGGGAGTCTGAAAATTAGTATTTATTCACTTTGATGGAGTTGGTTAATATACATCTTCAGGAGCAAAGGCAGCCTACATGATGATAACTACACCACCCATTGAGTGCCAGTTGGGTTAGCAAAATACATTTCTGGCTTATTGTACCAATAGCTTGAAAAAATAATTGATTTGTTGAAATTTTTTTAACCCTTTTGTTTACAGTGAGGTGTTCAGACCTTCACATGAAGCATAATGTCATGAGCTGGCTAGTTTTCTTCCTCCTCATCTTTCCACCCTAGACAATTTTTGGGGAAGACATTTTATGATGATGATTCAGCCCCCAAAAGCCTTTACTAGTCGAACAATAGAGTCTTGTCGTTGCTGGGGATTGAACCCTTTCATTCGCACACTTCCTCCTCACCACACTTAATGGCACAAGTGGAAATTTATGATGATGATGATCGTTCTGTCACCACCATCATCATCATCATTGTCTTGTTGTGCCATTACCTAGCAACATCATCTTGTTTTTCTACTTGAGCATTCCGAGCCCTTGAGGTTCATTGCTTGCTGCAGGTATTGCCAGAGTTTACGGCTAGTGAACGGTGAACACAAACAACAGCAAGGCTGCGTCTTTCAGCCCAAAATAGTTTTTTTTCCCGATTCAGGATTGCATTCTGAAAGATCATATCCAGTGACTCAAAGAGCCATTATTTGGCTAAGAATCCAACAGGACCAAGTCCTAGGATCTCTGTTTAGCTGTTATAACACAGTTATATTAGAACACCCGACAGGCTAGGAGATCTGGTCAACTCTCAACACTCGGGGAAAAGGCGAACGGATATACAAACCAACAGTTACTGGTACCATCAGAATTAATACTCCTCGCTTGCTGCTGAAGATGGGCACGGAGCGCTTATGGGAGTGTCCAGAGTGTTGTGATGTCCATTCTTAATTCACCATTCAACCCAAAAGTTCTGAAATAGCTTGCAGTCAGATATGGGCGGGCTGATCTAACACCTGATGTTGATTGTTGTTGGTCAGTTTCACCTGGCAGATGTTACCTGGGGTTGTACATGTGTGTTTGTTTGTGAACAGGCATTTGCATGGTTCAGTGACCTGCTGGTGGAGCATGCAGAAATATTCTGGTCTCTCTTTGGAGTGGACATGAACTCTGTTCTGGACACCCAGCCTCCGGACTCATGGGATAGCTTCCCTTTGTTCCAGTTACTCAACGACTATCTCCGGACTGATGGTTAGTAATTGTTCTCTCTCTCTCTCTCTCTCTCTCTCTCTCTCTCTCTCTCTCTCTCTCTCTCTCTCTCTCTCTCTCTCCTCTCTCTCTCTCTCTCTCTCTCTCTCTCTCTCTCTCTCTCTCTCTCTCTCCTCTCTCTCTCTCTCTCTCTCTCTCTCTCTCTCTCTCTCTCTCTCTCTCTCTCTCTCTCTCTCTCTCTCTCTCTCTCTCTCTCTCTCTCTCTCTCTCTCTCTCTCTCTCTCTCTCTCTCTCTCTCTCTCTCTCTCTCTCTCTCTCTCTATATATATATATATATATATATATATATATATATATATATATATTTGTGTGTCCATTTTCATGTTGTATGCTCACTCTCACTACCGGCATCATCAAATTCTTTCTCATCAGGTGGTCTCAGTGAAATCAGCAGTGTTTTTTTTTTCTATTTCTAATAGTTCTTTTAATCTCTTAATTTCTGACAGGATCTGTTTTTCAGTTAGCATTGCCATTTGTTTGTTGTCTCACAGAAAACCTTTGCAATGGTAGTTTCCATCAACAACTGAGGGATGTGTTTGCACCACAAGTTGTTCGCTACGTGGACCTGATGGAATCCTCAATAGCTCAGTCTATACACAAGGGTTTTGAGAGGGAGAAGTGGGAGCCACAAGGGTAAGCATTTTTCTGTCCTTACAGCTTTGTAGCTTGTTAAGTATTTATAACTTTTTTTTTTAAAGGACAAAAATTTGGGTCATTGCTGTGTTTTTATTTGGTACATTTGTTTGCATCTGTAAAATAAAAACTTGGAGGGAAAAAAATAAAGAATATGCCACTGATGTGTATACTAAAAATTATATGAGGAAAATTTAGTGAAATCAGTTTTATTATTGGCCAGTTGAAAAGAAAGGTCACTTTTCACATGTTTGCCTCAAAGGCATTGAGTGCTAGATCTATATTTCCAGTATTGATGGTTCCACTTGTACTCTGATTCAATAGTCAGTTTGTCTTTTCTCTCAGCATTGAGTGTCTATTAAATCTGTTAGTAGTTATTGAAAGATTTATTTTCTTTTACACAGGACATTTTCAGAATTGTGACCAGGAATTTTAGAACTGTGTTTGAATTAGGAAAGGCAGTACACATGCAAGCAGTAATGAAATATGATAAGATTAAAAACATCTGGGATTGCAGGCTGTGATAGTTTAGTGGCTTGACTCTCGAGTGTTGGCTACAAGATCTAATATTTGGATCCGCATCAAGGCAGTTTATTTTTCATTGGCTTCTAGATCGACCCAGTCTAAAATTGGAAACATGGGAAGTAAAGGTGGCTGGCATGGTGTTCACCACATCACCCATCGAGTGCTGATTGCTCTAAAATAAATATATTGAGCATAATATGTTAGTTAGTTAGTTAGTTGGTTGTTTGGTTGGTTGGTTGGTTGGTTGGCTAGTTAGTTAGTTAATTAGTTATAGTTGGGTTATCATCATTGCACTCCAGACATGTCCATAGGTGCTCAGATCCTCCACTCGGTATGAACATATATTGAGCATAATATGTATATGCTTGATGCACTACTGATGTGAAAATGGTCCTATACTCTCCTTATCTACATATGAAATTAATATGCAGAAATGTTGAAGAGTGTTGCAGGAGGAGATAGCAAAAGACAGAATAGTTTGGCATGAGTTCATTGAGAACCTACACTCTAACAAGTGTTAAAGTTCAGAAATGTGCTCTGTAATGCTCTGTTATATGTTACATCCCAGGAATGTGCTCTATAATGCTCTGTTATATGTTACATCCCAGGAATGGGTGCTCCACATCTGAAGACATGCTGTGGAAGCTTGATGCATTGCAGTCTTTCATTCGAGATCTCCATTGGCCAGAAGAAGTGTTTGCTGAGCATCTAGACCACAGGCTGAAGCTGATGGCAGCTGATATGATTGAGGCAGCAGCAAAAAGGTGAACTTGTTTTGTCTTGTTTCTTTATGACTTCAGTTGTGTTTATTTCTCATAGTAAGAAAATATATATACCCGAATGAAAAGTATATAGGCAAGCTTCACAATATAACAAATACAAACAAAACGTGAACGTTGCAGCTATTGACCCTTCATCAGCACATACAAATGAAACAATACTACACAGAAACACAAAATCACTTAGCTGGTATCTCGAGGCAGCCGGGTCGGTTGTTTTCCAGCATAGTTAAGAACTTGTGGTTCTGTATGTAAAGAATGCAACTTGATAAATTGTGTTGAGGCAGGGAAGACCAGGCCCTTAGCCTTGGTTGGCTGCTGGTCTAGCCAGCAGGTGGACAAGCAGGGCATGGCTTTGTTGGTCCAGCAGCTTCTGCAGTATGCTTTGTTGCACAAATGTTGGTGTTACATTTGCTTTGGAGTAAACAAGGCAGGCTAAGAGAGGGATCATGCTGCATGGGCAACACATGCTGTCTACAATACTGCCCATTCTTTTTGCTGTGGAGGGAAAGAACTTCATCCCTGGTCAGCCTTGGAATCAAACTAAGATTCTGTAAGTTTAGTGTTACTACAGAGGTTGTCTTGGTGTGAAGAATATATTTCATATATCCCCCTTCATCCAGACTGAAGTTTCAATGTAATGAACAACATATTTCATAAATCCCCCTTCATTCAGACTGAAGTTTTTAATGTAATAAACAAGTTTGACAATGAAACTGACATCAGAGATTTCTATGTTGCTGAAACATATGATAGAACTTGTTAACTTGTTACCGTACGTCAACATGAACTCTGTGTAGCAGTTTAGATTTTAATTTTTTATTTTTGTGACTGATAATTTGCGTTTCACGTGAATATTTGACATCTTATTTCTCCTTAGCATTCACCAGCTGTAAATTCCAGCAGAAAGTTTGGACTGTTTATCCAATTCTGGACTTTGGTTTTGTTTAAGGACTTGAGTTTTTAGGGCACATCTGCTTCACACAGATCTGGCTTATCTGTATGCAGATTGTTGGTTCCTTGCATCTAAGGCAAAAGTACTCTAACTTCAAAGATAACTTCCATAATTAGTCGCCTTGTAGGACATGCTTGTTAGGAAGGCAGTCAGTATCCCCCCCCCCCCTTTTTTTTTTCTTCTTCCCAGAAAAGTCTCCAGAACCTACACAGGAAAGATCTTATTTGAATTCTACCTCACATTTACCAACACAAGTGCTACACCTAAGAGATGTAACGTGAGAGCAACAGGTGTCCGAGGAGAATATGGATTGATGATATTTAAAGATATTGTATATCCACATGGACTGACAATAAATAACCATGGCTAGTGTCATCCATTGTGCACATAATGCTCAGTGGCAAAAGTTGATGTTGATTACAGTGATGATGATGATGATGTTGATGTTAATGATTGTTTCACAAGAAAAATTGGTGTATGTTTTCTGTCTTCTCCCTGTGGAACAGAACCCTGAAATGTTTTGAGTTCTGGCTGAGGAAAGGAGGAAAAAGCACTGACTACTTGGTGTTTCCCGAGATGTGTATAATGATGAATGTTATTATTGACTGCAAGAACAAGGCTCTGCACCTTTGTGCTCTTGACCATGGACAAAATATGGTGAGTAAAAATGTGTTTGTTTGACACAGTGTAACCCCCTCTCTCCAAAACCCTCACCACAGGGCCCCGTTTTGACCCAGCATAAAATGTGTTTATTGACTGCATCACCCATGAAGTACCATTTGATCTATTACAAAATGTGGATTTAGCACTCTAGTCCGAGTGTGTTATTGACTGCATCACCCATGAAGTACCATTTGATCTATTAAAAAATGTGGATTTAGCACTCTGCGTCCGAGTGTGTTATTGACAGCATCACCCATTGAGTACCATTTGATCTATTTAAAAATTTGAATCTAGAACTGTGTGTCCGAGTGGGATCTTGACATCACCCAGTAAGTACCATTTGATCTATTACAAAATATGGATCCTGCAATGTTTGTCCAAGTGTGTTATTGACAGCATCACCCAGTGAATCCATTTGATCTATTTTTAAAAAATGTAGATCTAGCACTGTATGTCCAAATGGTGTAAAAGTTTGTGTATTTTTTTTTAAACTGCTATAAAAAGAAAATTGTGTGTGATGTCTGACTTAGTTACGGCACAAGAGAGACGCTGATAAATGGTGTGTATCACCTGAATCTTATTGTCTATGACCAAGTGTTTTAGAAGGGGATGGAGAATGTTAGAATCCTAAAGGATATCCCATATGTTGACTTACAGATGAGGGAAGATTCAGGAAAGGACTAGGGATGAAGGAGCAAAAGAATGTGGATAGGCTAGGAACTTTCTTCTTCTTCTTCACGTTCACCAGCTGTACACTCTGGCGTAAAGTTCTGGTTGTTCGTCCACTTCTGGACTGCAGTCCTGCTCCAGAACCTGAGTGTTGCGTGTGCATCAGTTTTACAGATTTGATTCAATTGAATGTAGACTGCTGGTTCCTTGCCTCTCAGGCAGATGCACTCCGACTTCAAAGGAAGCTCCCCAGTTAGTCGACTCTTACGACATGCTTTTGGGGAGGTAGTGGGTCTATTCTTGTTTTCCCCACAATAGGGCCCCGGAACCCACACGGGGGGCTAGGAACTGAACGGCCGTGAAGCACATGCTCAGTACCCACAGTGGCAATATGGGCCTGACATCCTGTGCTCTGATTATGGAAGACTTTTTAACGCCAACAGTCTTGCTAGTCACACTCACCATTTCTGTGGCTGGTAATTCCCATATGTCGTAAGCGTAGTTGGCGGAATGTATCCTCGCCTGGAGATCCCCTCTAATCCCTCCAAAATTAATGTTTTACAGAGCTCGAAATAAAATTGTCTAGGGGAATTTTATTGGTCCCTGAGTTCATAGAAAGGAAGGGAATTCAATACAATCTGATAACTGCAGATAATTATACGAATAGGGTGAATGCCCGGAAAATAACTGAAAAAAAAATATTTATTCTTCTAAATAAACTTCCATACATTTCTAATTGAACTCAAAGTAATCAAAGAGTAAAATACTTCATCAAACAAGGAATTCAAACAGATACCAATTGACATAATCAGATAGTTAGGTTATACTAAATCAACAAATTTATTGACACAACCCAACCCAGAATAACCCATTCAACACTCAAAAAGAAAAAAAACATCATTTAACACCGAAGCAATCCAAATCAATCTCAAACGTCACTCAGCTTTAAGTTCGTTCGAGTGGAATACAGCATTCCTTGGCGAATGGAACAATCTAACTTGCAACTTTAGTAGCTCTTGACTGTCCTCAATGTGTAGTCTGTTTCGTTAAATTCAGATCTCGGTTCTTTTCATTCTACAGCGTTGGCAATCTACAGTGGTTATAGGGGACCTGGAAAATACATCAATTGTCCTTGGGGTGAGGATTATGCTGAAATTTTTGTGGCGGGTAGAGGTGTTACGGTATTTGTGGTGTTATCAGGGTAGTAAGGGAAAAGAGCAAGGTGTTACATACACTGTCTTCTCCACGAGCATAAATAACATCAATAATAAACCTCTCTAATATTTTATAATATTGTTTTATACATATACAATTCTTTGCACTATCATATGAAACCTGACATGATGTAGTGGACACACGCTCACATGCGGATTGGACAGTCGTGAGTTCGAGTCCTAACAGACCCAGGTCGACTTCGCCTTGAATGGACACCAGGTATAGTCATGGGATGTAAAGGCAGCTGGTTTGATGTTGACTACATCAACGCACAAGTTCCCATTGGTCTATAAAACACATGTCCAACCCCATATGCCCATACAACTGACGGCGTGACTAAGGGTCCCTCCCTTTTACTCAGTTTTTATGTTTCATACTTAATAAATATACGCAGTGTAGGGTATATACAATTGATGGTACCGAATGGCACAGGATGATGGTTTATAGGGTAAGATCATTACGCAAGGATACCAAATGAGTATTCTCGGAAAAGATGGTAAGGAGATAGAGGGTTCGCTAATGAATAGTCCCAACTGTGAATAGTAACCTAAGGAACCTCCTAATATGTAAGAACTAATAAGTAGTTACTGTTGTCCAACGGACAAGTATCAAGGTGGATGAAGTCACGGAATATTCATATAAAGAATAAAAGAATGGTAGGATATCGATAAAATATTTCAGGATACAGCGAGGGTTTACAGGAGATCTCAGCTACTCCCTACCATTATAAATCTCTCCTGAATTCGTAGTAATATTATATCTTTTTAGCCAAGCCGATGTAAAGGCTGGGACGGCCATTTGGTTTAGCAACGAATGACTAGATCTAGGGTTTTGTTCCCTAGTGGCAACTAAGAAAAAAACGTCATAATTTATGTGCTTCTTAACACCGTCGTACATTTACCGCTATTCCCGCATCTATATTTATTTAAAATGCGCAATTGTTTTAACCAAAAGATGCAATACACTCTTTCCGGACTGAAATATTCCGTTGGTTTGTCACACCATGCCTCACTGTAGCTTCAGAAAATCGCTACAGGGAGTCTTTGCTCTGAATGGATAGAAAGCATTTAAAAGTTGCAGTTAACCTCCATCATCTGGATCCACACACCCGGGCAGGCAGGAGTTAATGGTGATGAAAGAGCTGACCAGCTGGTAGTTGATGCACCCTTGCAAACAGGAAGAGTCTTGGACAGAGTTGATATCATCTATGCTGTACTGACTAGGTAGGGGAGGGGGGGGGGGGGATAATGGTGAAGCTCTGATGCTAACACGACTGTGTGACCGAGGAGTTTAGCTTTGATGAATCATGACTATGCCGTCTTGGAAGTAAAGACAGGAGATACTATAATCAATTTCTCACAGGAACAGTCAGTAGGGGCACTTGGAGTCGCTGCTGCATCTGAGGACTGAGCAGTGTGAGCCCAGTGTGCAAAGACCTTGATTATGATAACATAGCACAATATAACACTGTCGTCTGGAAAGATGAAAAGATGCAGAGAAGAGTAATAGTGAAGACTAAAAATTGCACACACATTTCCCAGTTACTTAGTACCTGCCATTATTTACCATACAAGTTACCTGTTTGTATGGACTATCATAGATGATAGTCTCACACAGTCACTAGGGCGAAAGAAATGGCAAATTAGCAAATGTAAAATTGGCCAGTAAATCCACAAATATTCTGTGAAAATTATGCAGCAGTTTTATTTTAAAACACCCTCTTGCTGTTTTACCAAGTTTGTTAGTTGTCAAGTTTTTAAGATTTTTACCTCAACATGTTTACATTAAGCTATGGCTGAATATTTTGAATAAAAATATCTGCTGAAAGAATTGAGTTGGGTTCAGTTTAAGCTTTGTTATAAAAATGTATGTCCATCTTGCCTTTCCTCTGTTAAGTATCGGCCTGATTATCTTGTTACACCCCACTGCACCATTCTCTTCCCCACCTGAATGATCCATTCATGCTTTCACATTTTCACTTCTTTACAAAGGGTTGTTGACCACATCTAGCTTGTCATTCATCAAGTTGCCACAAATGGTGCATCAACAGCCTGTCTGTTTGCCTATTCATTTCCCAACACACCTGTATAACGTGAAGAATAGATAAAAAAGTCTGAGGCAGTGCTTGCCACTCTGCACAGAGCATGCCTCTCTCCATCTTTCTCAGCATGCTTTGTGAGTCTGTTACAATCACAACATGTGTGTGTAGTGTTACAATCACAACATGTGTGTGCACTGTTAAATCACAACATGTGTGTGCACTGTCACAATCACAACATGTATGTGCACTGTCACAATCACAACATGTGTGTGCACTGTCACAATCACAACATGTGTGTGCACTGTTACAATCACAACATGTGTATACACTGTAACAATCACAACATGTGTGTCCACTGGTAGACTGTTTTTCTCTAAGCGAATGACTATGTTGCCAGTCTTCAAGTACACATAACATGTTCATACCCGTTCATTTCAGCACCAGTACCACACAAAGATTGATGAAACACTGGAGAGGGCTCAAGTTGAGATGGCCAGATGCTTAATTGAGAAAGTTAGTTATACATTGCTGCATTTGTCATCATCATTTGTATTTTATTCTACATTAACAGAAATTGAAATATTTAAAATCAAGCTGAAAGAGTAAACACCCTAACCTGCACAGTTTATGGCGACTACACTAGGCACACAGCCCAAGTTCAATAGTCTGCTTACAAATAAGCCAAAACTGAAAAACGCATGTGCAGGCAAATCTAAGGTTCTGGAACAAGACCCTGGTCCAGAAGTGGACAAACAACCAGAACTTTGGCAGTTAGCGAGCACGAATAAGAAAAAGAAGAAGAAACACTGGCAGAATTAATTTATGTTCACATTCTCAACTGTTTGTGGCTTAGAAGTTAGTGAAATCATTTTACGATGCAATCCTCAACATTTACCCGGGTTTGATTCCTGCAGTGGATGGTTTAGAAAAAAGACCATTGCCATAGCTTTAATATAGTAGTACTAGAGTCGCACTGTGGTAGAGATTAGGGCCTTCCTCATAATATTCTGTAGCAGCCAACCTTCATTGTGGTGACAGCACAGATCTTTGTCCAGCAGGTGGTTCTGTGAGGCCTGATCACATGAAACCTGTCCCAAAGGTTTTATAACAGAGGTAGGCCTTGTATATTAGCAGGCATGACATAATTAATAAAAGCAGCTGGTAGGAAGCAAGCCTGCATCTGGAATCATCAGAAATAATCAACAAAAACAGCATACAGTCATGCATCCCACAGCTTGCTGAGACGACAGGTAATCATCTATGAAAAAGAAATGGAGCTGAGTTTAAACAGTTATTGTGTTACACAGCGAAGGGTGATGCATTTCTCTGGCAAGCTGTGGTAAATGATGAATCGCGGTTCCACACCTTAGAGCTTTCAGCCTTTTTCTTTCATTCTGTTCTATCCTCTTTAAGTGTTCATGGATGGAATCCAGTCCAGCACCTTTGGCCTCTCTCAGTGTTTATCTTAGGATTAATTTTGGACATCTTTATTTCCTGAATCCATTTGTTTCCCACTTAAGTGCGTATAAGCTGTGCAGCATAAAAAAGTGAGTCCACATGATTGACGCTGTTTTATCCCAGTTTCCTTAGACATGGCAGCAAAATAGCACGCATGCATTGGAAGTATTTTTGATCTTGGAGGGAAAAAAACTATTTTAGTTACTGCCTGTAGCAATATGATTGTATGTCTGTCTTGCCTTTCCTCTGAGTGTTGAGTGTCGGCCAGATCGCCTGGTCACTCCCTGCTGGAATTTCTCTCTTGGGAACTAAATCAAAATGTTCCCTAACTGCATAGTTATGGTGCGGGTACTAGCTATGTGGTCCTAAATAGTCAGGCTAAAAAATGACCTTCCCTGCCCCGGACCTCCCTTAAAATTGGTGAAGTAAAGACTGTAACAAATAGTTTTTATCTTTTTTTTTTGTTGTTGCAGCTGTTGTCGGTCCTGGAGAGTTTGTTGAGTAAGCTGGCTCGGTATGATGAAGGCACGTTCTTCGCCTCTTTGCTGTCATTGACTGTAAGTGGCTGTGTGTTTCTGGCATGTTTTGTGTAATGATTACATTTTCTAATGTTGTCAATGTTAGGGAGCACATTGAGAACAATGCTAGCCCTATCCTAGGATGAAGCTAGCCCTATCCTAGGATGAAGCTAGCCCTATCCTAGGATGAAGCTAGCTCTATCCTAGGATGAAGCTAGCCCTATCCTAGGATGAAGCTAGCCCTATCCTAGGATGAAGCTAGCTCTATCCTAGGATGAAGCTAGCCCTATCCTAGGATGAAGCTAGCCCTATCCTAGGATGAAGCTAGCCCTATCCTAGGATGAAGCTAGCCCTATCCTAGGATGAAGCTAGCCCTACCCTAGGATGAAGCTAGCCCTATCCTAGGATGAAGCTAGCCCTATCCTAGGATGAAGCTAGCCCTACCCTAGGATGAAGCTAGCCCTATCCTAGGATGAAGACAAGCAACCTGAAAAGCTCAATTTATTGCAGGGAAGACCAGACCCCTCACTTTAGTTATCAGCTGGTCTAGGAGGGAAGCCTCTACTGGCAGTTGGACTGATCATTGCTGCTAGGATCCGAGTGCAGTCTTCCAAATATTTTGGTAATACCTCTCCTTTGTAGTTAAATCAGGCCGATAGAGGGATCATGCTACATGAGCATCACATGGTCTCTACAATACTGCCTAGGCTTTATGCTATAGAGAGGAAGAACTTCATCCATTACTTGAAGTGGCATTGACATAGATTGTATGTAGCTCTCATGCCTTCCTGAGCACTGAGGAGCACAGTCATCTGGAAAGATACCAACCAAATAAAACATGTTGTTGGATGTGACAAGTTCAGTTACTTCCTTCTCATTCAAGAAATAGGTAATTCTATATCATATAATACTTCAGGGCTCTTTTACATATACTTCAATGAAACTGCCTTTTGTCTTTAACCCTGTCACCCAAAAACTGTTTTTTTTTAAGTGGGGTGGGGGGGGGGGGATGAACATAAAAATGCCTGAGAAGGGGGTTGAGAGGTCCCAATTTTTTTCTCTTAAATACAGGCCACTCATAAATGTTTTTTTTTTTTTAAATGTATGCCCCCCCCCCCCCCTCCCTTCCCTTTCCAGTATTTGTAATTCTTTTTATGCTTGAACCTTTTGGCAGAAACCTGTGAATGAGTTGGGCAAAGCCTATGTGGATTTCATGAGAGGAAATTTGGACCAGATGAGGAACAAAATCAATGATGAACTGTACACACTGTCTTTGTTTGAGGTGAGTGGTGTTAGTGACTTGAAGTCAGTGTGATGTGATATTAGTGAGTTTTAATGTTATTGATGTGATGTTAATAAACATGAGTTAAGTGATTTTATGTTAGTGCGGTTATTGATGTGATGTTGGTAAGGTTAGTGATGTTAGTGAGTTTTAGTGATGTAAGATGTTAATGATGTGATGTTAATAAGCGTGAGTTGAGTGATGTTGGTGAGGTTATAGATGTGATGTTGGTAAGTTTAGTAATATTAGTGAAGTTAGCATTGCGACGTTAATGATTTGAGATTAGTAATATGACATTAGGGAAGTTAGCGATGTTAGAAAGATAAGTGATGTTAGCGATATGATATTAGTAGTGAGGTTAGTGCTGTGATGTTAGTAAGGCAAATGATGTTAAAGAGGTTATTGATGATGTTAGTGATGAGGCTACTGTTGCAGTATGTGTGTCCTAGATCTGTAGCATGGTTATTATATTCACCTGCCAACATGGCTGAATACAAACATGATATGAATGTTAAGAAAAAACTAAAAGAAAAAAAAAGGGCTTCTGACTAAATAAGTATTAGACTTTTAAAATAATTGTTAGAAAAGGTCCTATTTGCACGTTAGTATGGTATTGAATGTGTAGTCCAGTGAAATCCAGGGCCTGTTAATATTTTTTTTATTATTATTGTGTTGGGGACAGATTGGCAGATAAGTTAGCTAGCTGCTTCACTACCTCAGCCAGCTGCGTCAGTTCATAACGTAAATTTTGTTAGAAAACTAAAATATTTGTAATTCGTAGATGTTGGATAAAATGCCTGGACAGATACACATTAAAATATAGTGATGTGGCCTATTTGTCTGCAGATCTGTGCTTCCTTGTCTCTCAGGCAGATACACTTTAACTTCAAAGGCATCACTAATTGCCTCCTAAGACATGCTTGTTAGGGGTCTATTCTTCGTTTTCCAAAATGGAGCCCTGGAGCTTTAACAATATAATACCTCCATTTTAGTAGAGAAAATTTTACTGTAGCCTGCATTATAGCAGAGAATCTCCAATCTACCTAACAGCAAAAACAACACATCCTTTTGCTTGCTTAGCATAACACTGCCTGCCAGAACAATGAATGTTAGGACTAAACAAATTGTTCGTCTTTCACTGTCGGCCAGAACAATGAATGTTAGGACTAAACAAATTGTTCATCTTTCACTGTCGGCCAGAACGGTGAATGTTAAGGCTAAACAAATTGTTCATCTTTCACTGTCTGCCAGAACAATGAATGTTAGGACTAAACAAATTGTTCATCTTTCACTGTCGGCCAGAACGGTGAATGTTAGGACTAAACAAATTGTTCATCTTTCACTGTCGGCCAGAACGGTGAATGTTAGGACTAAACAAATTGTTCATCTTTCACTGTCTGCCAGAACGGTGAATGTTAGGACTAAACAAATTGTTCATCTTTCACTGTCTGCCAGAACAATGAATGTTTAGACTAAACAAATTGTTTGTCTTTCACTGTCTGCCAGAACAATGAATGTTTAGACTAAACCAATTGTTCGTCTTTCACTGTCTGCCAGAACAATGAACTAAACAAATTGTTCGTCTTTCACTAACAAACACTGGCATGTGGGACTAACACCCAGTAGGGAAGAGTAGCTGATCAGCAGATTCTGAATGGTTTGGTATTGACTAGTCTAAAGGAACTGAACAAGTTGGTGAGGTGACTCTGTTGTATGCTTTTCCATATTTCAGCAATGGTACAATGGTCAGATGAAAATGGTGTGTGACTGGTTGACTGACCGGCTGGACTTATCTTTGCATCCATACCAGTTGACCTGTCTGATGACCATAAACAGGGTAAGTAATGACAAAAAAAGGGTAGAGCCCTTTTTTTTCATATCACCGGCAAATGGGCCATATTTGTGTGGCCCATTCAGAAGTCAGCCCACCTAGGAGCCAGGTCAGTTATTAGCTCTTAAGGTATGAAGGAACTCATCATCTAATTTAACAGTACTGTGGAACCAAAAGCGTTAAAATCCACCTTTCCAGGGAGTCTCCTTGTCAAAGTGGTCAAACTGTTTGCCTCATGCTCTGAAGGTAGTGGGTTCGTTTCATGGCTGCGTCACTTATTCACATGTACAATTTGTAAATGAAGATCCCTGGGGATTGTCACAGGAGCTATGGAGTTCGTGTTTTATGTTATGCTTTCGGCAGATGGTAAGCCTAACGTTATACAGAGAGTCCTACCCCTTTGAGATACAGTCCCTGCTGTGAAATCAATCCTCTCGACTTTAACTTTAACCTCTCTAGATTTAAATCCAAGGCCTTTGGTTCAAGCAGGCCAGCATCTGACCATGGCTCCCATAAACGCAGAGTGTATTTACATTATGCTTTCATTTCAGTATTTAATCTATGTTGTCTTTGTCGCTTGGGCTTCAGATGGATGTTAATCATCATCATCATCATAAAACACTTCTGCCGTTAAGCGCCGTGGGGAGGAATAATTTGCAGTCCAGTGCACGTTGGCTGCTACTGGCTATTGTCATGCCGTGAAGGCGTAGTGTGTCTTTAATGTTGTCGATCCATGTTTTCCCGTGGCCGTCCTCTTGCTCTTGTAGCTGATCTTCTGAGATGTAGTGCTTGTGATGGTATTTGATCTTGCTGCATTCTAACGAAATGGCCAAACCACTTGATCTGCTGTTTCTCGATGAATCTAGTACAAGGTATTGTTCCCACAATTTGCTTGATAATTTCATTATTCACTCAATCTCGTATGGTTAGGTTGGCTGCTAATAATGGATGTTAATACGAGTGCATAATATGGAGCTATGGTAATGTTCCATAATCAGATTGTGGTTTATAAGTCTAGGCACAAATTCTGTCATTTGTTTCATAAATCTGTGCATCAAGTCTCATGTTCCCATAAATCTGTGCATAAAGTCTCATGTTCCCATAAATCTGCCCAGCAGTTCTCACATTTATATTGTAAATCTATACAGAAATGCTTCTCAGATTTTGAGCTGCAAGGAGTGCCAGAAAATTCATTGAACAGCAAAACTTACCAGACAATTTGCAGCAGACTGCAGGTGAGTCCAGAGAGCTGATCTTGCTTCATCGTCGTCTCCACCTCCTTTGTCTTTCTTCGTCTTCTCCTCCTTCCTCCTCTTCCTCCTCCTCTGCATCTCTTTCTCATCTTCTTATCTGGCTGCTGCCTCCTTTATCCGTCTTCTTATGCATTTTCTTATCTTCTTCAGCCTTTTCCTTCTTGTTCTTCGTATCTGCCACCCCCACCCCTACCCCCCCCCCCCCTCCAATGCCGCTCTCCTCCTGCTTCTTCACCTTTTGCTTCTCCAACACCTTTTTTTTTAAATTATCCTTTTTTTTCCTTTTTTTTCTTGTGTCAAAACTGTTGGATCTGTGACTAAGTCGATGCGAACGCTTCGTAATGCTGAGATGCCGGGTTCAATCCCAGCTGCGGGCTCCTTGCGTTGGTTTTGACAGTGGTATAACGAAAGCCGACCATCTAGAAAGCGATGGCAAACTACTGGATGTAAATTTGCCTAGAAAAAACACAACAGCCAGAAGCTGTTGGGGTTGGTTTTGCAACATTCTAGAAAGGATACGCAACTAACCTTTGTGTCGAAACTACAGCAAAGCAGCAACATATTACTCTTTGCCAAATACATGTGTCTTATCAGTTAATTACAGGTTCTATCATCATGTTAAATGGTCACCCCATGGTTGCCCTGTTCCTGTACCAATGAAAACTACACAGAATGTCTATCTCTGTCCCCATGTGAAAGAAACTGAAACAGATTGCATTCTTGGAAAAGCCAGTAACATGCACATGCATTAAATGCACAAGGCAGCCATCTGAAGTGCCAGAACAAACAGTTTGCCACTAGAATTGCAGTTCTCATTTATGGAAGCAGTAATTAAAACAGCTTGGCATGTGCAGTATCACATTAGGCACCACCAGTTCAGTGGCAGCAGGCCACACCACCCCCCCCCCCCCCCCTTTCCACACCCCCTCACCCTCTTAATTTTTTTTTGTTTTTTTTTGTTTTGTTTTATTTTTAGTTCACTACACAGACTATGTTTGGCACAGTCAGAAAGTATTTCAAATTAAATTTGCAGCTCACATTGCCACACAGTGCACTCACCTGTAGTTGGCCGACAGAACTATACACTTTTACCCAATAAATGGGTGAAAATGCAACAGCCAGCAGTATCTAGAAGCAAATAGGTTGCCGAATCTATAATAGTCAGCCTGCCTAACAACTATATTCGGCCTTAACTTGATCAGATCTCACAAACCTAATTAATCGGGTGACGTCTCTACAGTGAAAGTTGGCTTAGAGGATCTCCAAAGTCTCTGTCCGTTATCCTAGTTATACACTCTCTAAGACTGCAGATTATTCATGTCTTGGTGTTATCCTCCCACCTGCATCACTGTCTACCACTTGCTGTCTTGTCTAGTCCTCCCCCCTTTTCAGTTTTTATGCGAGTGTTGTATTTTTTAATTTTGCCCAAATATTTTTTTAGCATACTTTTTTTGTTTCCAGCCATTCCGAGCCCAGAACCTTTGTACTTATTGTGCTTTGTTTCCCTTAAATACAATCCGTTCTTCTGTTTATCCACAAATTCAGAGATGCAATTTGATTTCTGAAATTCCCCATTTTAAGTCTTCCACACTAGTTATCCGACCTTATTTTTTTGAAGCCCCACCCTGGCTTTTGCCAGGGGCCGCAATATAGGCAGGCCATAAATATGGCCAATTGTCTGAACGCGGTTTCTGGAACCTCTCCACGGCGATCCTCATCCACATGGTGGCACTTTGTGTCATCGGGTGCTTATCGCTTGTGTGATGTCCTGGTGGGGTAGAAAGTCAGTCAGTCTTCCACACTGTTCAAAAACATAAATAAAAAGGAAACACATGGTTTTTGGATGGTGCTTTTTTTAAAATTATTAGTTGACAGGAAAGCCTGTCTGTGTAAAAAACGTTCAGTGACCCAGTTGCAAAAAAACTGTCAGTTTATTGTTTGAACTCTTAAGATATTCTTGTTTGCAGTTTAAATCATTTCATTCAAAATTATGTTCCTTTTAGTAGCTATGCAGTTTTGTTTGTTTGTTGTTGTAGTATAATATTGTTGATTGTTGTATGCATCCAGGTAGAGGAAGCCACCCAGTCTGTGACACAGTCAGAGAGTGGTGGAAGGACCTTCCTTAGCAAGCCTGCCAGTTCGTCAGCAATCGGTGGTGATGACTCAGACTAGACCAACAATGTCATGTGACAACATTCCTGTACAGAGGAATCCCTGATACCTTTTGTGTTTTTTGGCTTTGACTTTGGACCATGGTGTTCAAAACATTTTTTTTTTAGTTTGAATGCTTTGTTCTTATACTTCTTTTGGTAACAAGGACTACCAGGCAAGGTCATTGATAACATTTCTTTTAACTTTTTTGCCAGACTTAGTCATGAAATGTTCCATTTTCATGTGTTTTGTATATTTTCATGTATACAGTTGGTTCATTGCTTTCTTCTCTGCTGAAGGTTGCATTTTGAATTCTGTAACTTAAATTCAAGGATGTATGTATTGCCAAATGTATGCCCTCTTTATTGTTAATGTTTCAGTGTACAAACATCTGTCCACTGTTTTTCTATGCTAGACTAGATCACTGACTGATTGTGTGTATTTCACATGTCACAAACTCCTTACCGGTGCAATTTTTTTACACAGCAAAGTTTGATAGCCTGTGCTTACATGGCTAGTGAAAAGACTTTTCATTGCTTAATGTGTAAATGTTTGATATTTATGTGATAATCAGTGAGTGAGAAACTGTTGTTACAGTTCTAAAAACGATTGTTACTACGTAAGGAACTTTTAATTATTACAATTCTAAAAATTATTGTTACTACATATGGAACTTTTAATTATTACACTTCTAAAAATGATTGTTACTACAGATTGAACTGGTGGTTTCAGTTTTATAGATTTGCATTTCAGAGATGCAGCTTGCATTTCTAGTTTACCAGTTAACTGTTCAAAGCTCTACAGTTAGCTATACAACAGTTGACATATTTACATTTGAGAGATCTGCAACTTGAAGTTTTACAGTTAAGTGATGTGTATCTCAGAACCTTCAGTTTGTAACTGATGCACACACAGATGTAGAGTTCAGAGAACTACGTTTCACATTATACAATCTAGAGAACCGCATTTCACAGATATACAATTCAGAAAGCCGCATTTCAACAACCACATTCTACAGGTAAGTGGTTCAGACAACCACACTTTACAGGTAAGTGGTTCAGACAACCAAACTTTACAGGTAAGTGGTTCAGACAACCACACTTTACAGGTAAGTGGTTCAGACAACCACACTTTACAGGTAAGTGGTTCAGACAACCACACTTTACAGGTAAGTGGTTCAGACAACCACACTTTACAGGTAAGTGGTTCAGACAACCACACTTTACAGGTAAGTGGTTCAGACAACCACACTTTACAGGTAAGTGGTTCAGACAACCACATTCTACAGGTAAGTGGTTTAGACAACCACACTTCACTAGTTAATGACCCAGACAACCACATTTCACAAATAAGTGGTTCAGACAACCACACTTCACTAGTTAATGACCCAGACAAACACACTTCACAGATAAATGTGGAAAACCACACTTCACATACAAATATACAACTCACATATCAATTGTTCTTGTTTTTTCAGGCACCTAACCTGAAGCAAGCATTGATGATCTGTCTCCAATCCTCTCTTTCATCTTTTATTTTATCAATTCCATGTTGCTTGCATTACAGTTTAATGACCAGCCATTTAAGCTAGCCATGTTCACCTGTCATGGTTTTTCTTAACTGATAATTTCCAGTATAAGAACAATTGTACCTCTTCTGTTAGTCCTTGTCATCATCTTGTTGTGTCATTGTAGGTCACAGGGCTTGAAGGTGGTTCTGTTCTGTTCAGTCCTTGTGATATTATTGATGGAAACCAGTTCTTCATCTTTGGCCTCTACGATTCACATTAACTGTAGGGTTTCTTGTGGATCTTCTTGTTTCCTCAGTCCATTTGTATCCTATTTCAGTGACTGTTTAAGGATTCTTTGCTCGCTTCTTTTGAGGTTGATAGAATGCCATATTTTTAATCTTCTAATTGTTGATACCAGTAGTTGTCCAGACATTTCTGTTATGTGTTCATCTTTCTTGAATTCATCCCATGTAATGTCCATCAGTTTCCTCTGGCATTTGTTTCCAAATTTACAGTGGTTGTCCAGACATTTATGTTATGTGTTCATCTTTCTTGAATTCATCCCATGTAATGTCCATCAGTTCCCTCTGGCATTTGTTTCCAAATGCATTAAACTTGTGTTGCATGCCTTTAGTTGTTCTCCAACTTCTACTGGCATATCTTAATACTTAGATAGCATTAGAAATGAAATATCTCACTTGGTTTAAAAACTGTATCATTTAGAGTTCCATATTTTATTCAGGCTTTCAAAAGTTGCTCTTGTCTACCTTTTGTATTAAGTCCTTATGGTTTTAATAAGATCTTGTAACACCTGCAGCTTTTGATACCGCAGTGATATTATCTTCCTTGTCCATAATATTGCCCCTATGCTACTCAGAAGCCACAGCTCTTTTACTACCAGTTTCCTCGTTTTGCTAACTCTTTCTCTACCAGTCAACAGGAGCAGGCCCTTGGCCTTGGTTGGCAGCTCCACCAGTTCGAGAGACAGACAACACAGGTGTACATACAGCATAGGTGGAGAGACAGACAACACAGGTGTACATACAGCATAGGTGGAGAGACAGACAACTCAGGTGCACTGATCCTGGAAATCATTGCTCAAAACATATTGATGTTACTTTTCCTTTGGAGTTAACAGATGAAGCTGAGAAAGGGACCATGTGCATGGGCAACACATAATCCCTTTAACACTGCTAGACTTTTGTGCTGTGAAGGTGAGGAACTTATGGCTTTGTCACAGTATGCCCAATGGTGTGAAAAGAGTCTGTGGCTTTGTAACAGTATGCCCAGTGGTGTGAAAAGAGTCCATGGCTTTGTAACAGTATGCCCAGTGGTGTGAAAAGAGTCCATGGCTTTGTCACAGTATGCCCAGTGGTGTGAAAAGAGTCCATGGCTTTGTAACAGTATGCCCAGTGGTGTGAAAAGAGTCCATGGCTTTGTAACAGTATGCCCAGTGGTGTGAAAAGAGTCCATGGCTTTGTCACAGTATGCCCAGTGGTGTGAAAAGAGTCCATGGCTTTGTAACAGTATGCCCAATGGTGTGAAAAGAGTCCATGGCTTTGTAACAGTATGCCCAGCGGTGTGAAAAGAGTCCATGGCTTTGTCACAGTATGCCCAGTGGTGTGAAAAGAGTCCTTTTCCATTAGTAAAGCCAGTAAAGACAATGTTTAGGGTGCTAAAGTCACCTCCAGTCACATATATGTGTTGTTACAGAAGTAGGGAACACAAGTGTTGGTACACCTTGTTGTGCATAGCCCTGCAGATATTTGTGATATTTTCTTCATAACTTTCAGGGCAGTCCATTTGAACTACTTAATTGTGATCATATTTATCTAATTGTGATATTGGGGAAATGGTGATTGTGGTATATGCACTAGAGCTACAGATATTTACGTTTTGGTTCCCTCCTCCTTCATTAAGGTTGGACTAGGTCACGTTGGTTGGTTGATTTATGAATCCACTTTTTTAAAAAATGTCTTCACTACAGAGGCTAGTTGTTGTGGATCCCTATTATTCTTGGGGATGTTACGTATTGAGGCCTCAGCCTCTTCCATGATTTGACTCTTTTGCAACTGTCCTACAGCTTTGAGAGAGTGTTTTGTGTGAGAGTGTGCTTTGTGTGAGAGTGTGCTTTATGTGAGTGTGCTTTGTGTGAGAGTGTGCTTTATGTGAGTGTGCTTTGTGTGAGAGTGCACTTTGTCTAAACTGAAACTTCAGTTTCAACTCAAAAATCTACAATGGCCACTGTCATCCTAGAGATAAAATTGACATCTTCTTCAAAATCACAGTCGTCTGCCTGACAGGTGGGCAACAACATTTTGCACACAGATAAGCTTATAAAACGGACGCTAGCAAAACTTAGGTCCTGGCACAAAGCCTAAGTCCAGATAGACAAACCACCAGGACCCTCCACCAGTGGTCACTTCTGGTCAACGCAAACAAACTTATATATGACATATTGGTTTTCAGTCCTGAAAGAAGCTTGCGTCGGCCATAATGAGATTGGTATGGTATGCAGACTTTCCTTCCGACCCGGCACCAACGTGCATTTTCATGAGCAGTGGGGAGAGGCATGGAAAGAGTTAACAGCTCATGAGCCTCCTCCTGCTCTCACAGATCCCACACTGACTGGAGAGACTTGAGTCCAGTAAATCATCAGTTTGTGTGTAATTATTCTGAATGTTTTTATCGACGCTGAAATACAAACACACGCGCAAAATATCTTATATCATTACCACAGTAAAGGTTTGACTGTAGTGTGTCCACCGTTGTCTTTGGGAATATTGCATAGTGAGACATCAGTCTTATCTACAGTATGACTCTGGCACCACTCTCCGGATGCCATGTCAACATTTTTGTTTTTATGACTATCAGCACAGAAATTTAAGCCTGGTACTCAAGGAAAGCCGGCATCTGTAGCATAATTGTTGTGAATGTGTTTTGTAACTTCGACGTCTGGGGTTCGATCCCAGCTGCTGGTGATTTCAAAGTAGGCCGCCTTGCATTGGTTTTGATAGAAGCATTGGAAGACGGTCGTTCAGCAGGCAGATGCAAAATACTGAATGTGAAATTGTCTAGTGAAATCACACACAGCAACTAACTTCTAGCACAGTGATTGTGAAATACATTCACTAACCTCTAGGCCTTAGAGCCAAATGCAAAGTGGGCGTCAAAGAGGACAGAAAGATGTCTTGAAATTTGATTTGTTGTCACATGGACCTCAAAGCTTACCAAATCAGGACAAAGAAATGAACGCTACTTGTAGTATTTATATTTAATCATGCTCTTTTTTCAGGTGGTTTCACAAATTTCTGTAAGCATACATTAAAAAAAAATCTTGTTGACTTTACATCCAATGTTAACCCTTCTGCTCAGTTAGCATCCAGTCTTTATTCCATTTATTTGAAATGTAAATCATTCCTTTTTCTATGATTATGTGTTTTCAATTATTCCTTGTTCCTGTTATTTATACAGTCTAATAATTCCATTTAGTGATTCATTGTTCCAATAA